CTCTCCCCCCAGCCCCCCCCCCCCCCCCCCGACCACCAGGAGCCCTTTCCTCTCCCTCCTCCAGACCCCGAGTCATCAAGGGCCCTTTTCTTTGCCCCACAAACCCCCAGCCCTACGGGCCTTTTTTCTCCGCCCTCCTCCCCCAGCCCATCCAAGGGCCAGGAGAAGGGGAAAGGGTTGGGGCAGTGGGCTATTTACTCAAGGTGCTCACAGGCAAGATGGTGGAGCCCCAGCTAATCTGGCTACTTCCTTAATGGCACAGCTGCCCTGAGTCATCAAGGGCCCTTTTCTTTGCCCCACAAACCCCCAGCCCTACGGGCCTTTTTTCTCCGCCCTCCTCCCCCAGCCCATCCAAGGGCCAGGAGAAGGGGAAAGGGTTGGGGCAGTGGGCTATTTACTCAAGGTGCTCACAGGCAAGATGGTGGAGCCCCAGCTAATCTGGCTACTTCCTTAATGGCACAGCTGCCCTGAGTGAACACTCTAGGATAGCTGTCCCCTGCGGGCTTGCTGTCCCCAATGGCCACTCTCATATTGCTTTAAGTTAGGAGAAGAGGAAGCTGCATACCAAATTTGGTGGCCCTAGCTCTTAGCATTTAGGAGGAGTTCTTGAACAGATTCGCAGACAGACACACACCTAAATACACAGATTAGCAGGGATGGATATGTTCAAATATTTATATATTTATCCTTAACTAGCCATTTCCATGCTTTTTAGTGCACAATTTTGTGGAATTGTATAACAGGGCACAGATTCACCCCCGCAGCTGCAGGAAGAAACTGATATTTGCTTTGCTTTGCTGCCCTTTATATATGGTCTTCCTTGGCCCAGACTGCCTGCTATAGCAAACTGTCTCATCATTGGCTGTCGCTATAAGCCCTCCTCTCATTGGCTCAGGACCAGTGCAGCCTCTCCAAAGGCTACTTTAACCATTCTGCTATCAGTGAGGGGCAGCCAGCCCACTAAAAATTGACATAATGTTCTTGTTATGGAGTTTCTGTGAGTGTTACATTTATCACAGGAGTATGAAATTTTGTGTGTGTAGGAATCAGCATCATATCAGGCCATTTATTTACTTGGTTAACAGGCTATAGTTAAAGGATGGAATGGCTATAGATAAACGAAACAGTGTGATGGATGAGGTTTTGATTACCAGTCAAGGGCAAGGCCAGATATTAGTAAAGCATTTCCATTATGCAGGCCAAGATGATGTTAGTCGCATCCCAAGAGACTGAGTGGGGTAAACTAGCCAAATTGGAATAGCGTCTTCTGCAGTTAAAGGAGTGTAAACTGAGTTAAAAGATAAATAAGTTGAAAGGCACAAGTGAGTAAAACTATTCCTGTTCTCAGATTAATCTCTCCTTTCTACACTTCAGTATTTTAGAAACCTGGACCTTAGAATATAGAGACCTGTATCTTCCCCCAGCAAGCTTATTAAGAACTCGGCTGACATTCATAAGAAATATTCAGACATGACCCCAGTTCACAGCTGCAGCTGCTTAACCTTCAGTAATAGCTGAGCTGCACTTCGGAGCAGTTCCTGGGACCTTTTTCATATACAACTGCTGTCATTCCTGGTGCTGTGCCTAGCAGACAGCGATGTTTCAGGAAGTGCATTAACAGGGGGCCAAGTACATTTCTCATTTTTACTGACATCAAAATGCTCTTCCAGATAATTATCTCTAGCTTTATAAAGCCATTAGTGTATGGAGAGAGAGTGTCAGGGAGAGGGAGAGAGAGAAAGAGAGAGAGAGAATCCACCATGATATTCATGGACTTTGTGTAAGATTTTCAGGAAAGCCTGAAAGGATTAGGTGTCCAGAAAATCACAGCCTTTCTAGAAACTCCTATGTTGATGAACAGAGCTGGCTGTTTGGCCGCAACTTTCAAGGTTCTGAAATATTGGCTTCCTTCCACCCTGGAACAAGACAAAAGCCTTTCAAATGTTTCTAAAAAACATAATTCTGTTGAAACCTGAGCTTTTGATTGAGTGAGATAGAGAGTGAGTGTATGTGTGTATGTGTGCGTCAGAGAGAGAGGTTAGAACACTGGCCTGGCACACGTACCTAATTCAGAGTGATCTGGGAATAAAAAATCTCTACTCTGAATTACACAGAACAGGGCCGTAAGTCTGAGTGTCCCACATCCCGGACCAGTGCCTAATCAGGAAAGACCCTGTCCAGGCCCTGAAACCTTCCTGATTAAATATTCATTGAAACCAATGCATCTCTGCATAACTCTTTGGTTTTGATATATTTTCTGACTAACTTCAGTAATGAGTGTGATGTGAAAACAGATGAGCATTGTTTTATTCAGTTTTTACTACAGCATTGTGACAGTAGGCAACTGGGCATAATTTATTAACTGTTGTTTCCAGAGTAACCCTTTGTTCTCAGCTGTGCCTCATTTCCCCAAAAATTGTGTTTTCCAAGCTGAAATGTTTCACATTTGGTCTCTGCCCAAGGGTGACTGCTTTGTGAACATTTGAACAAAACCACTTCATCCATTTTTAAGTGACAAGAGAGAACAACAAATTGTTTTCCCATTATAAAAAATATCTTATCTTTTTATTAAAAAAAGATCAATTGCAGTAAATAGTTGGGCTAGAAAGTTATAATTTGAAAATTGTCCTCTTAGAGGAGAAATGAGTTGGAGTGTCCTAGTGAAAACTGATGTTGATTAGACAAAGATTTACGCCTTGGAAAATCACACTTTGAGCATGCACAGAAGATTTTGCTCATGTTTTTAAGGCCCTGATGCTACAAAGACATACACATATTGTAATTTTATACACCGTGATCATAATTCACCACTGCACTTAAAGTGTATGCATAAGTCCCATTGATTACAGTAGTTTGTTAGGATTAGTGCTATGCTGAATAGGCACATTGCATGAAATTTGCAGGATCAGTACCAACGCTTGTGGAGTGCACAACCTTCACGGGAATTTTTAAAACCAGTGCAGAAAAAATGAGATAGGAAATTGATTCATACAGCAGCTCCTTATTCTTCATATAATACGTCTTTGGATACTAAAGGTGAAATTCTGGCTCTATTGAAGTCAATAGGAGAACTCTGATTTCAGAGAGGTCAAGATTTGATTCCCAAAGACCTAAGAGATTTTCTGCAATGTTTTTAATGTCCTTTTCCCCCAGCCCATAAATCATACTTAAACGTATTTTCCAACTAGAGTTAGTGACACTTAAGATAGATAGAAAATTGTGTTAAGACTGCTTGATTTATCCTTGCATGGGAAAATGAATGCCGTATTTGCACAAGTTTCAGATGTTGGTCACTGCCAACATGTTCTTATAAACAAAAGTAAGGCAGCATTACAACCCTTCATGATTGTGTCCTTAACAACTTCCAACAGACAGCAGATTCTGATCTGGAATGTAAATGAATGCCTGACAAACAAAATGTAGGATTAAAAAAAATGGAGCTAGTATATAAAGAATGGAAGCAACTTTGAGAAAACTTCTAACTCTATTACAGAAAACAAAGTGGCTGTAAAGATGGGGGAGGAGGGGTTCTAGCAATGATGAGAGGGAAGAGAAAAGAACTATGGGCTGAGGGTTTCACAAAGTCTTTTTTGTTATTAAAGGAGCTGTTAAAAGTTTACTCAAATGGTGTTTATCTCACTGAAAAACTTATGACGTGCAATAAATACAAAATAAAATTCATATGTGCAGCCTTGGCTGAACTAGAATCAGATCACTGGGAAATGCTAGTTGACCTAGTTTACCAATCAATTTGCTCACCAGTCAGCATGGGCTCTATCTCTACATTCTCTTTGGCCCTGTTTTCCCACAAAGTAATTTTCATTGTCTTTAGGGTACAAATGGGAGAAAGGGGAGTCTTTCTTTCTCTGTCCACAATCACATCTTTTTGACTGATTCTCTATTGTGCTTGGTTTTGTGTTTGCTCTTCCAGGCCCCATCTATGGAGAGTAATGACACCTATTGAATGGTTAGAATTAGAGACCCAACATCAGGGACTGAAATTTTCAAAGCAACACAGTAGATTTATTCTAACCTCTCTCACCGAATATGTGAGATTAATTCCCTTGCAGTGCTTTAAAAATATCAATCAACCCCCCTGGACTCTAGTCCTGATTTGTGTTATCTTAGGTATGGGCTTGCCTCCACAAACAATTAGATCACAGCAAACTGGGATGTGACTCTACCTGCAGTGACTACCTGTAATTTAACTGCTTCAGGGGGTAGCCGAGTTTGTAGTGTAGACATACCCTAACAGACTGTGTTATTTCGAAATAGCTTATTTTGAAATAACGTGTCTACACACAAAATTTTGAAATAGTGCGTCTACACTGAGTGGACGCTGAATCGCATTTAAGACCAGCCAGAACCAGGTCCAGCAGGGCATCAGGTCAGGAGTTACTTTGTGTGGCTGCTGCCTGAGGCTATCTGAGGCAAGAACACACGGCCCGTGTAGACAGGCAGCAAGTTTTTGCGCAAGAGCGGCCGCTTTGGCGCAAGATCACGCCAGTGTAGACACAGCCATAGTGTATTCTGAAGTCCCATTGACTTTTGCTTCATTGGGCCTATGTGTAAATGTTCAGCCGAGGGCAGATATTAATCTTTCTCTATCGTGAGCCTTCTCTTTCCATCCAGACTTCACTTCTTGACAGTGTCCTCTTCCCTACTGCTACTCAGTTGTAATAGCAAACATACTCTCAAGGACATTGTTGTTTGCTCTTTCCATTGTTTGCTCCTCCGAACCCCACCCTTTTGTCCTTAGTGTTATCCATTAAAATGTCATTGGATGACTGTGGGGAAAGAACTCACAATTGAGTTCTTTCTTGGCATTACCCTTAAAATTCAATACTGCTCTGAAAATCAGCTGTAAAAATGGCACTGCTAGGTGCCACCTTTATTGCCTCCCAGGGACCTCTGAGTCCACTTCTAAATTTACAAGTAAAAATAAGTTTTTTCTCC